TCTTGGAAAGATCAGGAATTCAAGGCTCATACCTAAACATAGTAAAAGCAATATACAGAAAACCAGTAGCCAACATCAAACTAAATGGAGAGATACTTGAAGCAATCCCACTAAAATCAAGGACTAGACAAGGCTGCCCACTCTCTCCCTATCTATTCAATATAGTACTGGAAGTCCTAGCTAGAGCAATTAGACAAGAAAAAGAAGTCAAAGGGATACAAATAGGAAAGGAAGAAGTCAAAATATCACTATTTGCAGGTGATTTGATAGTATACTTAAGTGACCCCAAAACTTCCACCAGAGAACTCCTAAACCTGATAAACAAATTCAGCAAAGTGGCTGGATATAAAATTAACTCAAACAAATCAGTAGCCTTCTTCTACTCAAAGGATAAACAGGCTGAGAAAGAAATTAGGGAAGCAACACCCTTCACAATAGTCATAAATAATAGAAAATATCTTAATAGAAAATATCTAACCAAGCAAGTAAAAGATCTGTACGATAAGAATTTCAAGTCTCTGAAGAAAGAAATCAAAGATGATCTCAGAAGATGGAAAGATCTCCCATGCTCGTGGACCGGCAGGATCAACATAGTAAAAATGGCCATCTTACCAAAGCAATCTACAGAGTCAATGCAATCCCCATCAGAATTCAAACTCAGTTCATCACAGAGATTGAGCAATTCTCAAATTCACCTGGAATAACAAGAAACCTAGGATAGCAAAAACTACTCTCAACAATAAGAGAATTTCTGGGGGAATCACCGTCCATGACCTCAAGCTGTACTACAGAGCAATAGTGATAAAAGCAGCACGGTATTTGTACAGAGACAGACAGGTAGATCAATGGAATAGAATTGAAGAACTGTAGGACTGTGAAAGGTAGCCTGGCTTTTGGTCGAGCACAGGCTAGAAACTGCTGAAGACCCCAGGTGATCCTGAAGGGCCTCAGGTGGGACCTAGGTGATCCTAAGGGACAGCAGGCATTTCGCCATGCCCCTAGACACTAGGCTCCTGACAAGGACACAGCCCTCCATAGATTTGTGTCTTTCAGTCATGTAAGGGCAATGTCCTACTAGCCCCTCCACAGGTAGAAGGAGTGACCACAAGTCAGGTAGCCTCAAGACAAATCTCCATATTAATGAAGTACCTAAAGGCCAGAAGGACTTAGCCAATTAAACTTTCCTTCCCAGACTCTCCTCTCTGCAAAAGGTATTTAACCTCAAGCCCGCCCTGAGAAAACGGGGTACAGTTTCCCATCTACTTTCTGCCATGACAATAAACATCTTAAAACCATGGACTGCCTCTTTTCATTGGGATTCACCATGGGGAACAGTGGAAGAGGCCTTTGCCTACAGAGCTGCATTTAATCTCCCGCAGAAGACTCTGTGTTCTCAGCCACAGTGACCACCAACCAAGCAAGCTGACAGCTGCAACAAGCCAAAGACTCTCATCCCAGTAGGGCACAGCTGGAGTGTTCTCCCCCTCTTCCCTTCGTCCATGGACCAATCCATCCTGTGTCCTCTACTTTGTTCTCTTCCATGGCTTCCGGTGGTGCTTGGGTGCCCAAGAGACTGAGAATGAGGCAAGCTAGTTCTGGCTTCCCATTGGACCTCAGACTGTGCACCTCCACCCCCTTGAGCGGTGTCTTCACAGTGGCTTCTCACAGCCCGACACCTGCCCATTGCCAATGTGGGGTGAGTGCAGTCAAACTCCCATGTCTTGCCTCCCTGAGCAAACCTATCCCCATGGCATGGCAGATGCGGGACCCCCACTATAACCCAACAAGGAACCAGAATTAAACCCACACACTCATGGTTGTGGGCCCGTGAAAGAATAGCTTGGTTCCTGGTCAAGCACAGGCCTCAAACCCTGGACCCTATTGGGACGGTAAGTGTTCGGCCTTGCTCCCAGACTCCAGGCTCCTGACACTCGGCCAAAGACCTCCATCAGTCCTTGCCTTTTAGTCATGTAGGGCAATGACCCTATAGCACCTCCCCAAAAGAGGTTTGTGTCACCTAGCACAGGTAGAGGGCATGACTACAGGCCGCAGAGCCTCAAGAGATCTCCATATTAATGAGATACCTAAAGGCCAAAGGGCTTGCCAATTAAGCATTCCTCCCCAGACTCTTCTCCCTCCCTATTTAACTTAGGCCTGCCCTGAGAAATGGGAGCTGGGATGGGGGTAGTACAGCCACATCCACTTTCTGCCATGACAATAAACCTTTTAAAACCATGGACTCCCTTGTGTCTTTGGGAATTCACCATGGGGAATCGTAGAGAAGGCCTTTGGCTACTGAGCCGCTGCCACCACAGAGGCCAACTTAAACAAGCTAACCAACCCAGCCAAGCAAGTGCTGTAACCAAGAGTCTCCACCCCCGGGCCCCACCAGAGCTCTCCCTCTTGACCCTCTCGGCAGCGGGCCAGTCCAGCCCATGTGCCCACTCCATCTCAGTTCTTCCGTGGCTCCCAGTGGCATCTGGGAGCCCAAGGACAAAGACCACCATTCTCCTGGTCAGCTGCTTTGGCCAGGAGACCCTCAAACCAGGAGCTCTGCCCCTGAGGAACTTCAGGCTGAGACCTCTCCACTCCCAGCACTCTGCCTGGCACTGTGTGGAGTGTACACAGTCAAATTCCCACACTTCTACTCCCTGGAGCTGTGGTTCCAGACACCTGGGGTGACAGACATGTGGGAACCACAACACAACCCAGCAGGACCCATGCTTATGCTCGAGCTACAGCCCTGCACATGGTCACCTGGTCTTTGACAAAGAAGCCAAAACTATCTAGTGGAAAAAAGACAGCATATTCACCAAATGGTGCTGGCTCAACTGGCAGTTGGCATGTAGAAGAATGCAAATTGATCCATTCTTGATCCATTCTTATCTCCCTGTACAAAGCTCAAGTCCAAGTCGATCAAGGAACGCCATATAAAACCAGATACACTAAATCTAATAGAAGAGAAAGTGGGGAAGAGTCTCAAACACATGGGCACAAGGCGGGATTTCCTGAACAGAACACCAATGGCTCAGGCTCTAAGACCAAGTATTGACAAATGGGACCTCATAAAATTGAAAAGCTTTTGTAATGCAAAGGACACTATCAACAGGACAAAACAGCAACCAACAGATTGGGAAAACAGATTACCACACAAATATTCAATAGAGGGCTAATATACAAAATATACAAAGAACTCAAGAAGTTAGACTCCAGAAAACCAAATAACCCTATTTAAAAATGGGATCCAGAGCTAAACAAAGAATTCTCAACTGAGGAATCTGGAATGGCTGAGAAGCACCTAAAGAAATATTCAACATCCTTAGTCCTCAGGGAAATGCAAACCAAAATAACCATGAGATTCCATCTCACACAAGTCAGAATGGGTAAGATTAAAAACTCAGGTGACTGCAGATGCTGACAAGGATGTGGAGAAAGGGGAACACTCCTCCATTGCTGGTGGGATTGCAATTTGGGACAACCACTCTGGAAATCAGTCTGGCGGTTCCTCAGAAAACTGGCCATATTACTAACTGAGGACCCAGCTACACCACTTCTGAGCATATACCCCCCAAAAATGCTCCAACATATAACAAGGACATATGCTCCACTATGTTCATAGCAGCCTTATTTATAATAGCCAGAAGCAGGAAAGAACCCAGATGTCTTTCAACAGAGGAATGGATACAGAAAATGTGGTACTTTTACATAATGGAGTACTACTCAGCTATTAAAAACAATGACTTCATGAATTTTGCAGGCAAATGGATAGAACTAGAAAATATCATCCTGAATGATGTAACCTAGTTACAAAAGAACACACATGATATGTAAGTGGATATTGGAAAAAAATCTTGGAATACCCACTATACCACTCATAGACCATATGAAGCTTAAGAAGAAGGAAGACCAAAATGTAGTTGCTTCAGTCCTACTTAGAAGGGGGAACAAAGTAATCACTGGAGGTAGAGGTAGGGAGAGACATGGGAGGGAGAGAGGAAGGGGAGGGAGAGAGGGGGCAGGATCAGGTGGGGGAAGAGACAGGGAAGAAGGGTCAGCAAATTGAATGAAGATATGTAGCAGTGGGAGATGGGGAGCTGGGGGTGGCCATTAGGAAGTCTCAGATGCCAGGAAAGCAAGAGGCTCCTAGGACACAACGGGGATGCCATTAACTGAAATACCCAAAAAAGGGGAGAGAAAACCTGTAGAGACCATATCCAGAGGTTAGGCACAGCCCCCAGTTGAGGGATAGAGCCACCCACCCATCTCAAAAGTATTAAACCAGAATTGCTCCTGTCTAAAGAAAATGCAGGGACAAAGAGTGGAGCAGAGACTGAAGGAAAGACCATCCAGAGACTGTCCCACCTAGGGATCTATCCCATATGCAGCCACCAAACCCAATTTGTGGCTGCTAAGAAGTGCTTGCTGACAGGAACCTGATATAGCTGTGTCCTGAGAGGCTCTGCCAGAGCCTGACAAATACAGATGTGGATGCTCATAGCCAACCATTGGACTGACCAAGGGGACCCCAATGGAGGAATTAGAGAAAGGACTGAAGGAGCTGAAGGGGTTTGCAACCCCATAGGAAGAACAACAATATCAACCAAACAGACCTCCCCCACAGCTCCCAGAACTAAACCATCCACCAACAAGTACACATGGAGGGACCCATGGCTCCAGCTGCATATGTAGCAGAGGATGGCCTTATCTGACATCAATGAGAGGGGAGGCCCTTGGCCCTGTGAAGGCTTAATGCCCCAGTGTAGTACAGTGAGGCTGAGACAGGAGTGGATGGCTGAGTGGATAGGGAGCTCCCTCATAGAAGCAGGGGGACGTGGAATGGGGTAGAGGGTTTGCAGAGTGGAAACTGGGAAGGAGGATAACATTTTAAATATAAATAAGTAAAGTAACCAATAAAATTTTAAAAGGAAATCTTATAATGAATTGGTTCCCATCTTTGGGCCTTAAATACAAAAACAAAAACATCTTAAGAAAGACTTGTGAAAACTTGTGAAAATGCAAATTTTATTTTATTTTTAAGTTATAAAAATATGAACATGTCAAAAATAGTTTAGTCCACATATGAGCAGTTCCAGCCATTTAAAGTCATACACACTATGGAACTATACAGCGTATGGATAAAATAATTTACAATGGTTCAATTCTGTTATTGCTAATTATACACAGTTTTTGAAATTGTTCTCCACCAATAGAAAGGGCAGTGATTGGGCATTTTAATTATTTCTGCTAAAGATATATTTAGTGGAAAAAATTGAAGATAAGAAAAGCTCACTCCGAATAGACTAGAATGTGTATGTTTTGATAAGAACTGAAATGAGCCATGGTTTTAATATCAGTTCTATCCCCTTCTATTTAATTTAAATAATACAATAATTACAAATTTAGTGCATTTCTGGCCAAAGTAAATTACTAGTTTTAAAATTGAGTGGTAAATAATTTAATTTTGATCATACTACAGAACAAAGCTAGAATGCTTAGCTTAAAATATTTTAAAATTTCGAAGAATTATAAAGTTTAATTAAAAGCTAAAACGTTTTTTTTTTCTGTCTTTATAAGCTAAGACATAAAGTTAATGAGTTTGTTCCTTTGAAGTTTATCATGAAGATCTTTTCTTTGATTTTTGGTTTTTTTAACCATAGGCAGAAATGCTTTAATATTTTTTTATCCAGTGCCATACAGAAATAAATCATAAAATCAGACTTAATGTTAAAAAGTAAGCAATACAGTTGACAGTGCAAAAACAAGAGAAGAAAATTGTTCCTGTGAGTGGCAGGTAATATACGGGCAGCTTTGGGCTTGTAGTTGACACGAAAGACTTTGGAGTTCAGCATGCACAGAGACTAGGCAGTAGCTTGCTTTCTAAATGTCAGATTCTGAGACCAAGTTAAGTTTCCTGCTGATATCTTAATTGTTTATGCTCATAAATAAACTGGGATGGATACTGGAGACAAGCACGAAGGGGAAGGACAATGATCCTAAGATCTAGTTTTTAGGACCACTCTCGTTTTTGGCTTGCGTCTTAGTTCTCTGTATTTCTCACTCCTACTCTCCGCATTAGAGCTTTTATTTTCACTCCAATTTATCACATAAATCTCTTGACCTGAAGCTGCCACAAAAATGTTTCAGAGTTGTTACTGCCACTAAATGCACCCAATATGCAAGTATCAGCCAAAACATCTTCCTCCCATCAAGCTGATCACCTCATTTCAAAAGGAAATATGTCAATGTGAGAAAACAGCATTGACTATTGTACACTTAGATGCAATTCAAACATATCAGAACACTAGCATAAAACTAAGTTGAGCTGACTTCAAATATCTATACTTATATATTAAAACTTCAGTACCAGTGTTATTCGTAAACAGGCATGTGCTTCATTGAGAAATTACCCTAATAAGTGAAAAACCACTACTTCTTCCTACAAAGGTATCTTGTGCTATCCCATAGACAGTATTACTAAAGGATTCCATTTGTGCAATAGACTGGGTTCACAGTGAGTATCTTCATATCTAGATCTTGTGTAACATTACTTTGAGAGTGTCAGTAGTGGAATGTATGCATAAGGCATGTAAAAAAAAAACCTATCTTTAAAGCTCTTAAGTGCAATAATCCAAACTGGCAGCTGATCGAGCAAAGTCGCTGCTAGGAATAAAAAAATATCACATACATTTAGTTTTACCACATACACTTAAGTTTATACTACTTTTGCAACGAAATATATTAATTCACATTAAACTTCTCTTGCTGGAACTAATGGACCAACAGAATGGGCTTTTGCTCCTTTAAATACTAGCCCAATCTTGAAAACGGAAGCAATCACTTGCGATCTTCCACACAGTGCTGTTAGGCGTGCTCTGCGCAGTCAGCAGGAAATTCTGGTTAAAGAAGTGCTGCTTGTTTCCATCAAACTTCACGACTCCACTGGTCACAACAAGCACTGTAGTCTGGCACTGGGTAGCTTGCTCTTAGCAACATAAACAAGAGAAATAGGTCACTTTCCATATCTAACTTTATGATGTCATGTTAAAGATTTTTAAAATGAATATTCTGTACTTTTAGCAGGAAACCTAAAGTCAATAGTCGAATATTTAAAAAAAAATATTAAGATGATTTTTCAGTCCAGAAAGATTTTCAGGGTACTCTCAAGTTTCAAAACAGAGATTATAAGCTAACATGACCATATGTTCCCTATATGTGTTAATATTTTATTATCTATGTAACATCATTCATAGTTTGTTTCTGAAGCCATTCTTCAGGAAATCTAAGGGGAAATATCATTATAAACAACTACATAAGACAGTAAGTACCCCATCTAGAGGTAAGTATTGTACACGGCATCAATCCACTGAGAATCAGATTCTGTCACAAGTTATTCTTTCACACAATACAGTTCACTGAAATTTTAACAATCAAATACATTCATCTATTTTTCTGTAGGCGTTCTCTTTTCACTAACAAAAAAAATCTCAATCTCCCAAAATTAACGGTGGTTTTCTGGAGTGAAAAGCAGCTAAAAGAAGCCCCAAAGCCTGACTGTATAAATTATTATTCATGACACTTAACTCGCTCAAATAAGTAAACACACTCACTGTTGAAGGGTACTGCTGCTTGGGCTGTAAACCTCAGTGTTGACTAACAGAAAATAAAGGAGATACTTCGATACTTACCATGAACTGGTTGGCAATCTAACATATTGATCTGGAATTCGCTGGAAGGCAACATCTCAAAAAAATTAGCAAGGGCTTCCAGCCCTGTAACAACATTTCCATTCCAGATTAGAGTGGCCTTGTCCAAATACAGCCTGACAAGTGCCTAAAAATAAAGGAAAACGTTAAAAATGGATTTTTTTTTTACCCATAAGCATCTTTCTACAAATGCATTAAAAGATTAGACAATATGTAAACATTTTCATGGCACAGTGTCTACCTCCACTGTCTCTATTTCCACTTCTTTTGCCTCGTGACTTTTGCAAAATAATGTGACCATGACTTCTATCTTGCCTTGAATAGGTATTATCTAACTCTGTAAAGCTGGAAAGTCATATGTCAATATTTCCATTTTAGTTTTGATGAGAAAAACTTGCATCCCTTGAATAGTAAGAGTTTTAAAGCTTTGATATTTAAAAATGAAGTAAGTGATCACAAATCCCAAGCACATGCAGTTTCAATCCAGTTTTGGTTTCTCTTTTTCCAATCCTGAGAATTAGGTTGCCATTTAAGCCCTAATATACTTTAATTCTAGTGACTAAATACTTGTGAATAATTTGATGCTTTAGTATTGGCATAGTAAGCTCAAAGGAGTCAGAATCACCTAAAGTAGTGCTTTTGACAGTGTGTGTGATAAGGTCCAAATGAGACAAAAATCCAACTCTTTTGGGTCAAGTGACACATTACTTGTTTTATTCTCAAAGGTAAGTTGGATTAAAAGGATCACACATATCTCTGTACTGATAATGAACTTTTTTTTTTTATTTTAAACATTTGCCTTGTATCACAGGCTGGTCTCAAACCCAGAATCTTGTCTCAGCCTCTAGAATTCTACAATTATAGGCGTGTACCAATAGAGGTTTGGCTATGGTGTCCCCTACGTCTGTCTGTCTCTCTGTCTCTGTCTCTCTCTCTCTTTATCTCTCTATCTCTATCTCTCATCTATTTTTCTGAAACAGGATCTTACTTTGTAGCTCTGGCTGTCCTGAAACTCACTATGTATACCAGGCTGTCCTTAAATTTAAAGATCCACCTGCTTCTGCCTCCCAAGTGCTGAGATTAAAGGCCTGTGACATTAAACTCAACAGTTTATATTAGTTCTGAAAGCACCAAGACAGGACAAATGACAAATATTCCTGACAAGGGACAATAAACATCCATTGTCATAGATTTTCCCACCCCGACTTCCATGTCAGCAAGAGTAACGTGTTTTATCTTACTTTAAAATTTTTTTAAAATAACAAAACAGTTTTGTACTGGAAGGAGAACAAGCAAGACTCATTTCATCACATACTGGAATAATTAATTTCTTTAAAATAGAATTGAGGTGGAGTTGAGAGATGGCTCAGTGGTTAAGAGCACTAACTGTTCTTCCAGAGGACCTGAGTTCAAATCCCAGCAACCACATGTCAGTTCACAACTATGTAACTTCAGTTCATTTATGCAGGCAAAACACAAATGCGCATAAAAGTCTATAAAAATAGAGTTGAGGAATAAATTACAACGAAAACAAAAAATGATGTCAGATCTTGATCTATTAAAAACTGAAAGCACGTACATTACTTGGACTCTTATTGTGAACATCAGTTACAACTGTGAAGCTTAAGCAGACATTTTCTATTAGTATAAAAAATAAAAGAAGCAAACCAAGAGACATCCCTGCAATGGTACACCATTCCACACCACCATCATTTCTATAACTATGTTAATTCCAGGGACGTTAAAAAAGATCAATCATTTATGTACAGGTATGCTGGACCCAGTTATATGAAGTGTTTAAATTAATTCCTGAACTGGTGATATAGGACAGTGGTACAGTACTTGCATAATATGTTAAGTTCAATTTTCAGAACCACAATTTTTTCCTATTTAAAAATAAAACGAGGTTAAGAAAAGTTGGGACTTTGCCTAAGAGCATGGTACTAGGTAAAGGCAAACTTATGATATGATTCCAGAGCTGATAGCCCCACTAAAACGTTACCATACCTTCTATAAGCAACTAATTTTCTTTTCCTTTTATATTTTTATTTAAAATAATTTTTAAACTTAAATATATTTTGATCATATTCTTTCTCTCCCCCAAGTTTCACCATATCCTCTCCCTAGCCTTTCAATGTGTTGGGTTTCAAAAAATGCAAACAAAAACTTAATACAATGAACCACTCCCCAAAAGGAGAAAACAAAATAAAACAACACCAAAACATAAAAAAACAACAAAAAACAAAAACAATACACCAAACTGTAATCCAATAAAAACAACTCTTAAAGAAATCTTGCACAATAATTACATATGCAAGTCAGATAAATGGTATTTTAAAAATAATATTTAAACAAAGAATAATAGAGACTATAAAACTCACATGTCGTCTTTTGTCCATTGTCTCATAGTAAATATTGACAAACTCCTCAGCAGCTCTACATGCCTGATCCACATAGGTTTTAAAATCCTACAAGAAAATTTTCACAAAGGTAAATTATAATTCCACCAATCCCCCTCAAGCAAAAAATACACAAAAGAGGTTGTCAATTTATGCTCTATCATTCTAAAGCTGCATTTAAAATCCATTCCTATCACATAAATTTGAGTATTTTAAAGGTTAAGGAACACATTTCAGCTTAAAAGGTCTGCTGCTAGTTTTAGGTGTATGTCTTTAAAACATATTCATCTCCCATTTTTTTTCCACTCTTCACATATAAATCTGGGCTCTTTGTTTGGCATGTAAATAAAGCTCTGTATTATAAAGCATTCGCCTACAAAAGTGCACCACAGTAAAAAAAAAAATTGGAAATTTTTATTTATGCTGATTTTACTGTAAATATTCATACAATTTTTTTTTATAAAAGAAAAAAAAAGAAAAAAAAGTGCGCCACAGTAAGTGTAACTCAGAGCTGTGGGGAGACAGGATCCTAGGTGTGAGGTGTGGGCAATCTTTGAGTAGGCTAGCAAAGTGCTTCATTTCAACTTATGACCAAGCTCAAACGCTACTGCGTTAAAAAAAAAAAGACCAAGCTCAAAAGCTACTGAGTTAAAACAAAAACAAAAACAAAAACAAAACAAAACAAAAAACCTCCAAAAATCCTGTCAAAATCCATGTGAAAATCTAAGCAGCCTCACTTAAAAATTTTCTTCCGTTATATAACTACTTACTGGTGTTCGGAAGTGAACTGTAGAAATGAAGAAATGAAACCCCTCACAAGAGGATCCCTGAGGAAGTAACTTTTTTTTTAAAGTGCCAACTGAAAAAGTGCCCACTGAAAGCTGAGGGCCACTCATCCTCCCGCTACCCTCCCACCTGCCGCTCTTTCTCAGGACCAGGGGGCGGGCGGAGGGCGCGAGCCCCGCCTCAGGGGCTGGCGGGCCAGACCCTGATTCGCCACTTGCTCACGTGTCCAAGCCCCGCTCGCGCCGCCGCCGCGCCACCCCTCCTCTCCCCGCTGCCTTCTGAGGCCTCCTCCTCAGCCCGGCGCAAGGTGTCACGCACTCACCACAGCCATGGCCATCGGGGAGCTTGAAATGGTCTGCTCTGGCGCCCGCACTGGAGGCGTCAGCACCTTCTCGCTCGGTTGGGTCCTTTGGCTACGGAAGGATGAAATGTTTAGCAACAAAATGAACAGCGCCAAAGCCACAGAATTTCCAACACGCCCATTGTCCCCCGGAAGTAGCTCAGTCCGGTGTTAAAATCATCCCGAAGTTCCAACTTTAAGCAGCGTTTCCCTTCAGTTCCGACTGATCCCGCCCATCTGTTTTAAATAACTTGCAAACTGTTTCTTTAGCATAAGAGAAACACACAAATGAAAAAAACTAACCAATTAACCCCATCCCCCCAAAACTCCAGCAAAACAAAAGGTGAGGACCTTGCTTTTGTAATCTTAATATGGAAAACAAACGCATCTCAATTTCCCAGCTACCTGTCCTTACACAAGTTAAAATTAAAAGTCCAATTGTGGGTGGGGACGTCTTTACTCGAGGAGACGGCCCAAAATTTGAAGGCCAATGAGAAATGGAAAAGGACTTCGCCAGTAGCCAATAGGAAAAGGGGGCAGAACTTAGAACGGGACACTAACTGCCAAGTACACGAGGGCTGAAAACTGTTTAAAGTACATAAGCGGTTGGAAACTGTTTAAAGTTCTAGAACGTTCGCCACTCTGAGCCTCAGTCACTAACGCTTCACTTGGATGCCTACAATTTCCCACTGTTTAAAACACAAGCATTTTACTGATTTTCTCCGCTTTGGGGGGATTAAATAACAAGGATCACCCCCCCCAACCCTATGGTGTATGTTTCCACAGATTATTCAAGAACAGCACAACAAGAAACAGTTTAGTAGTGATCACAAGCACGTTTCTAAACATTTTTACTCATACTCAACTATTTATGACAACTATAAGTTAAATGTTTTGTCATCAGTCTATAAAAAAAGTGATTAACCAGTGACTACATAGGATTTAAATTCAAGGAAACTGGTTTCACTACTACACTGCCATTTCTTAAACCGGTTGGTTTCAAAGCGGCGACCGCGAGACTTCTAAACTTTAAAACAAATATTTCTATAAACTTACTATCTGTAGTTGGTTTGTGGATCCTCATAGGAACTGCCAGCCTTTCCATAATATTTGTCCCCATTGGACCAGTTAGTACCACATTTTTTTCATGTCTTTATTCTCCATCAGCTCTCACGATCAACCTTCACCTTCACTTCTCCGACTGCGAGTAACTGAGGATGACTGCGCAGGACTCAACTTCAGTTACTTCCGCTTTGTCTATTATGATGCTTGCTTCCTGTATTATTACAACTTCCGGGGCAGCTGCTCTCACGTGATGCTCCGCTGTTCTTCATATGCTAAAGAATCACAGTTCTGTATCTTTGGTTCGACATTTTTTATGGAGATGAATTATACGTACTGAATCTGACTAATAGTGAAAATGAGAATGCTCTGTATGTTTCTCAGGTTTCTCAGACACTCAAATCCAAAATTTAAACTAATTTTATTACAGTTTATTTCTATTCTATATTTTCTCTGTCATCTGTACATGGATCTTTGGATTTTTTTTATTAATGTTTGGTTCTCTTATTATTTATTCTATCAACAAGTAGTTATACTCATTTACTGTGGATCAGGCATTGTGCAAAGCTTTAGCTGCTAAGCAGTGAACATAGTCGATATAATACCATTGCAAAGCTTACTGACTAACAAAAATAGCAAGCAATCAAGTATGTATTAATAAGGTTTAAAGGAATTCCATGTAATGAATTCTGAATATCTAGTTTTGGCCAATCTCTAAAACATTTTCAACCCAATCTTCTCTCCATCTCTGCCTTTCTAACCCCTCTTCCCTTTTCCTTCTTCCCTCCTGCACTCCCTTCTCCTCCTCCCACTCGTACCTCTTCTTTTTACATTTAATCACTCTATCCCCACCGCCACAGTGCTAATATTTAAAACTATATTGATGTGTTTTTTAAAATTTACTTTTTACAGAGTTCTCTCCAAAATTTAAGAAAGTTTAGTAAATTACATTTCCTCTCAAATTACCTACTGTCCATTGTTATATTGTTTTCGGCTTTTCTTCAATATAGGAAGATATTTAATGTAATTTCATTCAATCTTCACAAAACACAGAGAGGTAAATATTAATATTATCCATATATTTAAGATTTTGAGAGACTGGAGAGATGACTCAGCAGTTAAGAGCACTGACTGCTCTTCTAGAGGTCCCGAGTTTAATTCCCAGCAACCACATGCTGCCTCCCAATCATCTGTAATATCTGAAGAGAGTGTCAGTGTACTCACATACATAAAATAAATAAATAAATAAATAAATAAATAAATAAATAAATAAATATTTTTTAAAAAGGAATTTGAGATGAAACTCAAATGAGAAAAAAAACAAAAACCGAAAACCAAAACCTTTGCTGGGATGACATAGTTTGGGCTGGTGAGATGGCTCAGCAGTTAAGAGCACTGACTGTTCTTCCAGAGGTCCCGAGTTCAATTCCCAGCAACCACATGGTGGCTCACCACCATCTGTAATGGGATGCAACGCCCTCCTCTGGTGTGTCTGAAGACAGTGGCAGTGTACTCATATATATAAAATAAATAAATAAATGAATAAATAAATAAAATACATCAAAAATATTTTTTTAAAAGAGTTTCTCCTGCAGAGGGCCTGGGTTTAGTTCCTATGACCCAGATCAGTCAGCTTGCAACTGTCTGTAACTTCAGTTCCAGAAGATAAAATGTCTTCTGGCCTTTTCTGGTATCAGCATGCATGTGGTACATCTACATATATTCAGGCACACTCACATACACATAATCATTTTAAAACAAGATGATACAACTATCATTTATTCATTTAATACTTATTAATTAATTTATTATTTATTCATTTTTTAAAAGTGGAAACAAGGGTTTTTGAAAGTCAGTTGTGTTGGATGGTGTTTTGTTGGTGCAAACATGAAGGAGTGTTTTGTTGAAGTAGACATAGGTGAAACGATGTTTTTTTAAAGTAAGTATGTGAAAGGACACATGATGAAGGACTTTTTTGTTAACGACACATATGTATTGGACTGGCTTATATTGTGTAGTTGAGCTTCCTTTGTCAGGACTTTATAGAAAGAATCATATTTTAAAAACTTTTGGTGGTATGCTGCAGCTTCTTGCTGCTCCGTGCACTCAGGCCTTCCTTCCTTCCTTCCTTCCTTCCTTCCTTCCTTCCTTCCTTCCTTCCTTCCTTTCTATGTATTACTTTTTTTCTTTTCTTCCTCCATCTCCTTCTTCTTGATTTGCTTACTTCATTTCCACCTGTCTTTCAGATACCTGGGCAAGTATGTTCACTTTTGGGAAGCTTTACCTTCTTTAATTTTTTTCTGGAAACATATTGTATAGGATACAGCTCTAAGGCCTATAGAGGTGGCTAATGGGATGAACAATAGTGCTCAAGGAATAAAGAAGTACTGAGATTTGGGAAAGCGGTATTTGGTTGGAGGAGGAAAGAAAACTCAATAGTTTTATACTGATTTTTATTGCACATAATTTTGTGCTACGATGGGAGAATTACTACATTGAGTAGCTACAAAGGTGTGAGGTTGGGTAAAATAATGACACTGAAGCACGTATTGGGCTCTGAGTCTTGTATCTTTAAATTGAAAACATTAGAAAAACATATTGGATATGTGTTGAGGTATGGAGGACAACAACCAGTGAAAAAGAAAACAACAGGTGAGAAACAAGGTTCATCATTGCTAGAAAACTGCAATTGTTTAAAGTACAACAGTGACTAGGAACTGTATTAAAGAGCTTTCCATGAATCAAAATAACATTGTGATTAAACACACTATTTTTGTCATCAGCCTGAATTCAAATTCTAATGATGCTGCTGAGTAGCTTCCTGACCTTGAAGAAATTACCTAGGCATTATACAGCTCAGTCTTTCAATCTGTAAAATGGAAATAATATTAGTATATATTTCAAAACATTGCTGGAATAGACAAAATGACTCATTGGAAAAGGAGCCTGCCACCAAAACTGATGAATGTCAGTTCAGTCTCCAGTACATACATTGTGGAAGAAGAGAATGGACAAGATGTCATCCGCCTCCACATTTGCATCATGGTGTGCATCCCTCCTCCACAGATAATCGATAAGTAAGTAAGTGCATTTTGAAAAGCTCATTGTTATGATAGTCACTCGGACTTTCATGTGCTCTCTGTTTGAAAAATAAAATTTCCTATCCATATCAGAGTTTAGCAGCTCAATCTCTAAGAAGATGAAATAGGAGGAGATTATAGATAATTTTGGAGGTAGGAAGCAGCATCAGTAAGTTCAGGAAAGAATTGAAAAGCCTTGCAAAACAGACAATAAAAGCAATAGATGGTGTGTGTGTGTGCGTGTGCGTGTGCATGTGTGTGTGTGTGTGTGTGTTACTATTCCTTATAGCTGTATTGTACAACCAGCTCTTCTAAAGTAGAGACCTAGGAGGATTAAAGTTCTTGATAATTAATGCAATCTCACATGAATGTTTCCATTGCATCAGATTTGAGCAGGAACAATCTAGAAACTCGGGGGCAAGGGTCGAGTCTGAGTAGTCAGTAACTTCCTTTTGGGTCTCTATTTGGCAAGCATCTTGTTCATACTGAACAATGCTCTTCAATACCTTTTAATTTAGAAATTACTTTATATACCACATGAGCTACTCATTTAGAGTATTTGCTCTGAGAGTTTTTATATAGTCAAAGATTTATTCAAGTGTTATTACAAACAGGTTTTCCTTTATCAGTTGATTATGATTTGCTCTTAATTCCAGCTTCTGGCAGACACTAATATACTGCCTCTCTCTAGACATCTACCTATTTTGGACATTTCATGTAAGTGGAATTGTACAAATGTGATCATTTGTGTTTGACTTCTTTAATCTAGAATATTTCTGACATCTCCATGTCCTTTGAATCCTTTCAAATAGTGCTACTTTCTGGTGACTAAGCATTCAAATATATGAGCCTGTTGGGCCATTATTATTCAAACTGCCACAGTATCTAATACTTTATACAGTAATTTAAAACACTATATTTTTAAAAAAGAGATCATGCCATTTGACAAAATATGAATGATGAGTAAAATAAGCCAGTTATAGGAAGAAAATATTGTATAATCTCTTTTATATGCGGAATCTATTGTTATATGCATAGAATAAAACAGTAATTCTTAGGAGCAAGCTGTTGAAGAGAGTGGGGAGATGCAGGTCAAAGGACAAAAAGTAGCAGTCTACAGAGCTAACATACAACAAGAGTCCTAGTTAATAGTAGTGCATTGTATTCAGGAACTGTAAATAATTAGATTGCATATGATTTTGTCATAAAAGGAAAATGGATAACTGTGTGAGATAATTAGTATCTTTTTTTATCTTAAATAGACACAATGAGATCTAT